AGTTTATATAAGAAATATATTTCAACACTTGCCCCTGCAGCCCGCACTCGCCCCTGCAGCCGTGCTCGCCCTTGCAGCCTGCGCTCGCCCCTGCAGCCCCCGCTCGCCCCTGCAGCCACGCTCGCCCCTGCATCTGCGCTTGCCCCTGCAGCCCGCGCTCGCTCCTGCAGCCGCGCTCGCCCCTGCAGCATGCGCTCGCCCTTGCTGCCCACGCTTGCCTTTGCGGCCCACGCTCTCACCCGCAGCTGCGCTCGCCCCTGCAGCCGCGCTCGCCCCTGCAGCTTGCGCTCGCCTCTGCAGCCGCGCTCACCTCTGTAGCCCGCGCTCGCCCCTGCAGCCGCGCTCGCCCCTGCTGCCTGCGCTAGCCCCTTCAGCCCGCGCTCGCCCATGCAGCCGTGCTCGCCCCTATAGCCTGCGCTCGCCCCTGTTGCCGCGCTCGCCCCAGCAGCCCACGCTCGCCCCTGCAGCCCGCCCTTCCCTGCAGCCCGTCGTGCCCTTAGGCCTGCGCGTTGCCTTGCCCTGCAGCCCGCGAGCTGAGCTGCCCTGCCCTTAGGCCCGCGCACCACTTTGCCCTGCAGCCCGCGCGCTGCGCTGCCCTGCCCTTAGGCCCGCGCGCCGCCCTGCCCTTAGGCCCGCGCGCCGCCCTGCCTTTAGGCTCGCTGCTGTGTTGCTGCTGCTGCTGCTTCTGCCGTCTACGCTATTGCTGTCAACTAACTGCCACAGCCTGTCATGGCCACTATCATGGTCTTAACAACGTCTAGGGGTGGACAGCAGCAGCCACTGCCTCATCCGGACACTCTATCGCCACAGCAGCTTCGTGAGTGGATTATTCAGTGAGGCCACTTTGGTCCTGGAGCTTGGGATTACTTGTGTGCGGGCGGTACTGGATAGCAGCTACGTGTCTCTAGTAGTGTTGGTGCTGCTTCTCTAGATGCTAGTGAGTCTACTGCCTTAGCTGAGGCCTTGCACACTTTCACACTGGACGCAGGAGCGTCACGTTGCTTTTTTCATGATTGCACCACAGTCACACCACTCACAACACCTGTCCCTGTCTCACTGGCTGACCCCACTGGGGGCCCAGACATAGCGCGAGCCTCCACTGTCCTCCCGTGTCTGGCAGTCCCCTCCGACTCTCTTTCAGGCCTCCACCCCCCTCGTTCTCGACAAACTTGGTGAGCAACGCAGTCCTTCAGGATGTCTGGGTTGATACCTTTATCCCTGGAGGGCAGCGTGTGGCGATCTGTACGTGCTCCCGAACAGGACGACAGCTTGCTACGTTTAATCGGCAGCCTGGGTTTAGTCTGTACACCCTGACCACTGCGTCTGCACAGGTGGCTGCGCCAGGTTAGGTGGCTGTGTCGAGTCAGGTGTCTGCGTCTGGTAAGTTTGCTGCGTTGTGCTTGTGTCGGGAACTCTCCCACCAGACTCTTCTCTGGCACCACCGACTCGGTCACCCCTCTCTGCTGCGTCTCCGCAGCATGCACTCCCATCTGCTTGACTTTGGCCTTCCCAGGTCCCTACCCCCCCTCCCGCGCTCGCCTGCCCCGCCGTGCCTTCCATGTGTCGAGGGGCGGCACCGCGCCGCTCCTCACTCCTCCTCGTTTTCTCTAACCACTGCTCCTATGCAGACTCTCCACATGGACGTGTTTTTTCCCGGCCCCCGTCTGTGGGACGGACCAGGAGTGCTACTTCCTACAGGTCGTTGACAGCTACACGCGCTACACCACGGTCTTCCCCTTGCACAGCAACGCGGTCGTTAGCGGTGTTTTGATCCCCTGGATCCACGCTACTCGTTGCCAGCTACGCGAGCGGTTTCGGCGGGACCTTCCGGTCTCGCGTCTGCACTCTGACAGGGGTGGTGAGTTCTTTTCCGGCCTCCTTGCGGAGTTTGTCGAGACGAGGGCATCATCCAGCCATTCGCGCTTCCGACCTCTCCGCAGCAAAATGGGACTGCTGAGCGTCGCATTGGCTTGATCATGGAGGTTGCTGGTACCTCCATGATCCATGCGGCTGCTCTCCATTTTCTGTGGCCATTTGCGGTCTGATACGCCGCGCATTAGCTCAACCTCTGGCCCCGTGTCTCTTTGCCAGAGACCTCGCCGACACTCTGTTGGACAGGAAAGGTTGGCGATGCGTTGGCGTTTCGGGTCTGGGCCACTCGCCGCTCTCCACGCTTCGAGACTCCTCCTGGTTTTCCGCCTCGATTGTCTTCGCCGCCTCTGTAGCCTGTAGCTGTGGATACTAGTGCTGCTGGGGGTGGTGACATTGGGGGTGAGGGTTCTGGGGGTGCTAAGATTGGGGTTGCTGAGACTAGGGTTGCTGAGACTATGGGTGAGGGTTCCCGAGTGCTGACTCTGGGGGTGGTGCGAGTCCTAGTGGTGGTGGGGTTGTGGGTGCTCCTATTGCAGGTCCTGGCGTTGGACAGTAGCAGCCGCCTAGTCGACTCGAGACGTCCTCACCGCAGCAGCTTCGTGAGTGGGTCGTTCAGTGAGGCTGCTCTGGTGCTGGAGCTTGAAGTTTCCTAGAAGCTGGAGCTGCTGGTGTTGTAGGTACTGCTGGAGGTGCTGGATTTGCTGGAGCTGCTAGTGCTGTAGGTACTGCTGTAGCTACGTTGCTCGAGGCTTCAGTCAGCGACAGTGGGTCGACTTCTTCCATACCTTCTCCCCCACCCCTAAGATAACTACTCTTCGAGTCTTGCAACGCTTTGCAACATAGCGTGACTATGAGCTGCACTCCCTCGACTTCTCCATAGCTTTCTTGCAGGGCACCCTTCACGAGGAGATCTGGGTGCGCCGCCCACCTACCTTCATTGGGTCGTATCCTGCGGGTACCCAGGGGAGCCTCCGGCGGCCAGTCTACGGTCCCCGCCAGGTGCCCCACGAGTGGCACGACACACTAAGGACAGCACTTACAGCTCTTGGGTTTGCTCCTTCCTCTGGTGACCTACCGCTGTTCCTGCACACCGACACTTCTCTGCCGCCGTTTAACATTCTCGCGTGCGTCGACGACTTGGTTTTTGCTACTGCTGACACCGAGGTGCTGGCCCTAGTGAAGGCGGAGCTGCAAAAGAGACACACTTGCACTGGCCTTGGTGAGCTGCGGAGCTATCTTGGCTTGCAAATCACACGGGACAGAGCACGGTGCACCATCACCCTGACTCAATCACACATGGTGCACCAGGTCCTTTAGCGCTTCGGCTTCCAGTATTCTTCGCCACAACTCACTCCTCTGCCTACTGGCCACTCGCTCTCAGCTCCACCTTCGGACGATCCGTAGAGCCGAGTGGTCCGTATTTAGAGCTTGTGGGTTGCCTCATGTATCTGATGATGTGCACACGACCTTACCTTGCATACCCTCTCAGCCTCCTGGATCGCTACGTGGCTCCCGGTAGGAACTGACTCTACTGATTACGAATTCGAGTGGCGAGAAGAGTCGAAGTGATATCAACAAACGTGAGATCAAGACCGAACGAAGTGGAAATGGCTGGAACATGTTTAAAACGGGTTTCCGGGCTGCACGGCTTCGAATTCCGTTGTAATAAGTGAATGTGTCATTTAGGGTACATGGCAACCTAGGTCGTTTTGCATTCCTTAGTATTTTCTATATGAACCTATGTGTGCATCCATTATAATCATCTTAGTCATTTTACATTCACTTTGACATGAGGTCAATACTTCCGCTGCAATGCCACATGCGATCAACCCTGAGCTGATTCTAACAAACCACTTGTTATGGCTAGTGAAGATTTTTACTACTCCCCATGAGTACCATGCTTCGACTTTCTCGAACATACTCCGTCTAAATTACGACTAGGGTTAGAATCAGCATCTAAATACACGACCAGTGAGTCGCAACAGTCATACCAACGGTATCGTTACCTAGGAAAAACGAATAAGGGAATGCACCCCTTGGAGCACATGGCTAGCTAGGTCTATATGAACGAAACGTATGACATTCATATTCACTGTGACAAGGTCATTCAAAGAATTCCACTGTCTTACCCAAAGGCCCTTATCATGTCCAAACGTTCCCTGGGTTGTCACAACATAGGGTACTCAAAAGGCCAGTGGTTGTATCTCTAATTCATACTAGAGCTTCATTTTAGCTAGCAACAGTTGAAATCGGGTTTCCCAAATTAATATGTTAGAGCACTTCCGTCTTCAACTAGTTTCTATCGCGCTATGACGAGCACTTCCCGTAAGGCGTACGTACTCCCCAAGACACACCTGCTTGGGCTGGTCAAATCCTGCTTTCCCGCATCCAGCGCAGCTAGTATTCCCTCATCCCACCCGCGCCCTTCCCGCTTCCCGCCAAAAGTTTTAGTGTCAGCTAGCTGTGTTGGGTATTATCTGTGATATTTTAGCAATCGTCAAGGCCAGTGATTACTAGTCAGTAGTACTGACTAAGGCTCCTCATCTGTCGGTGGCTTCCGTACCGCATTTCACATTCGCGACACGGAACGTCTCGAAATTGATCGCTGGCAAGGCGATTCGGCGCCGAATCACGATCGTGCAGATTCAACCTTCTATAAATCGCAGAGGCGCGATGGATCCTCTCATGAATCACTCGAACTGGCTAGTGACAGCTTTTACTGCTCCCCCTGAGTTCCGTGCTTCGGCGCTCACGAATATAATCTGTCGACATTTCGACTTCGGCTAGAATCAGCATCTGAGACGCTACGATCCCAGATTCCGCTCTCCAATCGGTTGCTTGCTGCCCTCCGCTCTCACCTTGGAGCTTTCGCGTTCATCGACTTCACGCCACGCTGCGTCATGGCTTCCACGCGGCGCGTCCTGCTTCTCGCGCTGCTTGCGCTCGTCGCCACGGCCAGTGAGTCGCGTTCTCTCGTTACTTCCCAGGGTCCCTTTCGTCTCGTCATGCTTGTCAGTCGTCTCGAGGTCCGTTCCGTCGACTCTGCGAATCCTCGCAGCACCTTTGTCGAATTGACTACTCGATTCTTGGCTCGAGTCGACGATTTGATTCGCTCCCCACCCGGGCTCATGCCCGTCTTGTTCCTTCATCCTCCCTCGCCGCCTCCCTTCCCTTCAGTCCTCGCGGAAGCCGCCGGCAAGACCCGGTCGCAGGCGACAACAGGCGAGGCGAGGGGCAAGGGTGCTAGGGCCAAGGCAGGGGAGGCGAGGGACAAGGCTGTTCCAACCAACAAGCGGGCGGACAGCTCCGGTGCGAGCGGATCAACTCCGTCTGGAAAGAAACCTGCCCGCTCGCAGCAGGCGGCAGTGCAGGCGGCTGGCAGCAAGCGACAGGGGCAGCAGCAGACGATGGGCGTGAAGCAGCACAAGTCGTTTGATGGTCACGTGGCGGCGAACGGAACTCGTGTGGCGGGAGGGAAGGGGCACGTGAATGGCACGAGGCACGTGAATGGCACGAGGCACGTGAATGGCACGAGGCATGTGAATGGCACGAGGCATGTGAATGGCACGAGGCACGTGAATGGCACGAGGCACGTGAATGGCACGAGGCCGAAGCGGGGTGCTGCAGCTGGTGGTGGTGTTGGTGGTGGTGGGATGCGCAAGGAGGGCGGCGGTGCTGGTGGTGGGCGTGGCGGGCGAGGAGGCAGCGTGATTGGTGAGTGGAATCGCATCGTTGCACCACTGCTGCTGACGTCTTATTGGTCACTTGTGGCTGACGAAGCGGGCGCGTTTCCAGTGACTCTGTTATGTTCATTCATTGCTGCAGTGTGTCGCAAGTCGGTGGACTTGACGCCTTGCTTGCTTGCTTGCCCATGGCAGGTGTGGTGGGCGCGCGGATGAGTGGCGAGCAGATGGTGGGGTCAGCAGGCATGGCCAATGCCACGGGCCGCCTGGAGCTGAAGCTTGTCAAGTCAGTGCCGCTCCACGCTCCTTCTCTCCTCTTTCTCTTTTGCACCGCCATGGCTCTGCTTCTCCTTTCACTTGCTTTTGAGCCCTCCTCTCTCTGCTCTTGCAACGCCTTCCTCTGCTGTCCACACTCCATCTCAGCCCTCCTGGTTTGGCCCTTCCTCCTCTCCTCACACCAACTCCTTCTCCGCCTTGCCCTCCCCTTCCTCCTGTGCTGACCCTCCTGTGTTGACCCTCTCTCTTCTCTCCTCACCCCCCTTCCCCCTCCCCTTCCTCCCCAGGACGGCCACTGGCATGGACGTGCACTACTCGCTCTCTCTCGCGCACCTCTCCTCCCCCTCCCCTCCCACCGCCGCCTCCATCCACACAGGCTCCGCCGCCTCCCCCTCTGCCCTCCTCCTCCTCGCCTTCCCCGCCTCCGCCTGGACCAACACCACCCGCCCCTTCCATCGCGCCTCCAACGCCACCGCTGCTGCCCCCCCTGCGGCTGCGCGCTTCAGCTACGGCGCCAGGGGCGTGTGGGGCAACGCGTCGTCCCTCTCCGCCGCTCCGGGCGGCTCTGTGGCTGCGGCTGTGAGCACCATTCTCGCTGCCCCCGCCTCCTTCCACGCTCTCATCGCCACCTCCGCGTTCCCCCAGGGGGCTGTGCGCGGCCAGATGGCCAACATGACCCGCGGGGGGAAGTAGCAGCGGGGAGAGAAGGGGGCGTTGAAGGGCAGATGTGCAACTTGACACGTGATTGACAGATGGACAGACGTAAGAGGACGGGAGTTGCGAGGTGGGAGCAGGAGAGGGGAGGAGCCGCAACTGCTGCTGTGCACGAGATGTTAGAAACATGCTGTCGGAATAGGAGATGCTCAAAACATGCGCCTACCACTGCCTTAGCACATACGTTCTCCTATGGTTTTCTAGGACACATGTGTCTGTGAGGAGGAAGGGAATGACATTAGGTAGGAGTTGTCATGGTGTGTGGCGTTTCTTGGGTGGTTCCATAGATCAATGGCTGCGTTGCGGAGCTTGTTGCAAGTTGCAAGCAATTTATACGGAAGATTCTGTGTAGTCACCAGATCTAATCACTTGTTGGTATACCGTAAGTGTGTTTTCCTGCAGCCTCTGATATGACTTGCCTCAAACCAGGCTCTCAATAAGTGAACAACGGAATGAATTGACTATGGGCAGGGCCTCAGATGTCAGGAATTTTACCCTGAATTCCTGAAGTTTGACCCCCGTTTTTTATAATGACCCTGATGCATCAGCCTTTTTTTTTTTCAACGACCCTGATGTTTCAGTGTTTTTAAATTTCGAGCTCTGATTTTCTAGTGTTTTGTGTTTGAGGACACTGACGAGTCAGTGTTGTATCGGGGTCTACCCTGAAACCGAAAACTCATTGTTTTGGCGCACCGTCACTGTGCACCGTGCACCAAGGGGATTTCTGGCGAAACATGCTCTGACAGGGCGAATCTCTTGTGTGAGGGGCGAATCTGCTGCTATGTCAGGGCAAATCTGCTGTGATTGGGCGAATTTGCTGTGCTGCGACAGCGCGTAACGACTGTGCGAGGTCGAATTTGCCGTCAGGGCGAATCTGCTGTGACGAACCAAGTCCGAATCATCAGTCAAGTACACAACCAGAGATCAGAAACAATTCTTAACAATTGTCCTATTTGATTGGTCAGACAAGATTTCTGACCAATCAGACACGGAAATAGCAGAATCCTGGCCGAATTTGGGAATTGTGAAGTGAGGGCAGTCTGATTCGCTGTGTTATGACAGCATACGAGTAAAGCAACTATGCTGATCAGTGTTGAAGTTGTGGAAACCCTGATTGATCAGCGTTTTATTTCTAACAACCCTGTAAATTCAGTGTTTCACACTAGACGACGCTGAAAATCAGTGTTACCCTCCTAGGGACATTGAGTGCTCAGGGTACACAAAAACCAATCTGAGGCCCTGACTATGGGAGATACAAGAACAAACCCTAAAACTGTTATACCCCTCACTATGTGCCCCACTATAGACTAGCAAGCATATGGTAAGTAGTTTTGACACACCTCCATAGGCTAAGTGGGGGACAACAAGGAGAAAGGAACACAAATGGTCACAAGACTGAGTTTTATGAACGCAGTCTAAAGGTATGTTGTTCCACTTCGAACCCGGTGAATGAGGGGCATGTCAGAAATGAAATAGCAGGAATGAATTGCATTGAGAGAAGTTTGGTACATATGCCTCACCCTAAAAGGGTCATACGTGTCCCATTATAGCCTACAAGCATATATTATGTTTTGACTGTTGGAATTAAGGTTAATTCAGGTTGCTCCAATAAACATATGTAATGATACATCTACACTATAGTAGTGTAGAATACATTGGTTGGGTTGGGAGAACTTGTGGTGTACACTCTATAGAGTGGACCACCTTCCAAACCCTATAGTTTAGGGTTCTCTCTTGTTGTAACTTCACTTTTTGGAAACCACTTTGGTTCTAGCATGGTTCATGCCAGTGCCCTAGATATCAGCCTTTTTTTGCTGATTCAGCGTTAGATCAGGCTTTTTTTTAGGGGTTAGGCTGAATCCAAAGTTTTTTGTTATGTACCTTGGCTGATTTTTCAGTGTTTTTTTCTATACCTTGGCTGAATTTTCAGCCTGTTTTTATGAGTGTATGCTGAGCACTCAGCCTTGTAGTGGGTACACACTGAAACCGGAAAACAGTGATTTCCGCCAGCACACCACTTCCACACGAACTTCCCCCCCCAGCCCCCGTGTTCCACTCAAATTTCCCCCCAGCCCCCATGTTCCGCTCGAATTTCCACACCCCCCCACCCCGCCCCCGTGTTCCACTCGATTTCCCCCCCCATCCCTCATGTTCCACTCGAATTTCCCCCCTAGCCCCCGTGTTCCACTCGAATTTCCCCACCAGCCCACGTGTTTCACCCAAATCTCCCCCCGGCCCACTTCGTCCACTCTAATAAACCCCCATTTCAACTCTCCTCCAGGTTGAAAGGGGGGTTTATCCTGTTGAATAACCCCCCCGTTTCTCCCCTCAGCCCAGGTTGCTCTCTCACCCCTTCCCCCAGCCCACCTCGCCCCTCCCCAAAGCTCGCCTGCCTCTCTCGCCACTTCCAAACCAACCATAAAAATGTTACACACAAAGTATATGTAATTCGTGATTCTGCTTAGAATCAAAGCTATACAGAATCAGCATAAAATTTTTATGAACTCTGATTTTCAGAGTTGTTTTCCTAGGTAACGCTGAGTGTCAGCGTTTTTTTCCGTACCAGCGCTGATCGATCAGCCTGGTCCAAAACGAATCTAGGGGCCTGGTTCATGCCCAAGTGGGCTCCTAAGATTCATAGGCTTTAGGAGGAAGTTCTAAGACTACTAAAGCTTCCGCTAGTAGCTTAGTCCATTCTAACGTGGTATCAGAGCTAGGAAGGCATAGCAATCTGTTGGAATAGGAGCTACTCAAGAAATTTGATCATAACACCTTGGTGGAAGCTAAATAGCTTCCATCCCTCCCGAAGGGCTGCCAAAATTGCACCGTGGCGGACTCTGGACGTGGGAGGGGAGGAGAGAAGAAAACTGCTGGAAATCGTGTGGATCCGTTCAAGAGGACGAGAAGAGCGACATCCATTCACGGAGGCGCTCAGTCAACTTTGGCCGATCAAGAGGTGCAGCATACCTTTGGAAAGGCCTCGGCACGATCTACAACAATTGTCGCGGGGTCGTTGCCAATCGACGAGCGGATCGGACGCAATTCGCGAAATATAGTCGGCGGACGAATTGGAAATAAAATTGGAGGGCAGACGCCGACAGAGGAGGCCAGGGCGCATCCAACAAGCCAAAAATTGGGAGAAACGGTCGAGTCTTCGTCAACGGGAAATCGGCCAACTTCGACGAGTTTAAGCGGCCAGCTCGGACGTGGGATCTAGGAGCGCGATACATCAACGGAACGGTCCCGGAGCAAGGATTCATCAGAGCCAAATGGCTCATCATTCGGACGTTCGAGCACGGAGTTACGCTCTAATAACCAAGAGGGTGTGAATCTGCCCGCATCATCTTCACCGTCACCGCCGTTGTCTCCACCACCACCTCAACGTCAATCTTCAGTGCTCCTGCTGCAAATGGATCATGACTCAGGTGAAGGGAAGCTGGAGAGTGTGCCAAAGTTCGACGGGAGCGACTATTGGACTTGGAGCTTCCGATTCGAGCAATGGGCAGAGGCACACGATCTATGTGGGTACTTTGATGGTTCGGAGGAGTGGCCTACATCGGGTGACGCACGGCTAAAGTGGGAGAGGAGAAATGAGAAGGCATTTGCCCAATTCTGCAATGCCTTGGTGCCAGATGAGTTGATTCGCTTGGTACGGGAGTTCGGCGGCAAGACCGAGTTGGGAAACGCACTTGTTGATGGCGGAGCAAGAGCGGTCACCCGAGTTCCTGCAGGCACAGCAGCGGCATACACACGAGTGAAGGAGTTCTACCTTCAGCGTGGATTGTGTAACCGGATGGCACTCTTTGAGGAACTCTCTTCCTTGAAGATGAAAGAAGGGGAGGGATTGGCTGCATACTGGGCGCGTGCCGAGGACTTGAGGTCCAAGTACTTGGCTGCAGGAGGGAAGGAGGAGGTTGAGGAGTAGATGATGAGGGTACTCAAAGGACTACCTCCTCACTTTGAGATGCTGAAGGTAGTGCTGAACAAGCAATCACCATCGCTTACTAAGGATCAGTTGCTTACCTCCTTGAGGAGCGAGGAGATGCGGATTGGTGTCGCACCAAGATCGGATGGTGTAGCCACTTTTGGAGCGGGTACGAAAGTGGGCAGCAGCGGCAGGGGAAATTGGGACAAGGGAGGAAAGCATGGAGGCAGCGGTAGCAGCAGTGACACTAACTCGGGCAGATGGGGTCAAGGAAAAGGCAAAGCGGGAGTGCTTGATTTCCCCTTGGGGTCCAAGAGCATGGCTCCTCGGGGGTTGTGTCATGGCTGTTGGGATGAGGGACATGCATGGCAGCGATGTCCTCATCAACCTAAGGGAGGCATTCCGGCATTCTTAAAGCCGGAGGGTCGTGGATCCAACGGCAAGGCACAGGTGGCGGATGAGGAGGAGCAGGATGACAAGGCAGAGGTAGTGGTTGGAGAGGCAGTTACAGGAGTGGGAGAGGAGCAGCCGCGAGAGGGGTGGTGGATTGACAGTGGGGCCAGCCACAACTTTACTATTGCTTCGGACTTCAAAAGTAAGCTTCAGCCACCAGAGGTTCGGGGAGTTAGATTGGGAGATGGACAGGTGGTGAAAGCTGATGGCATGGGTGAGGTGCTAGTGGTTGGTGCTGGAGGTCAGCTGCTGAGGATTCAAAAGGTCCACCTTGTGCCTGAGATGCACACTCGTCTGCTGGCAGTCCCACACCTCACCTCTCGAGATGCCATTGTCACATTCAAGGGTAAGAAATGTGCTCTTAAACAGGGGGAGAGGGTGTTGGCGATTGGAGAAAAGGAGAGGGGCAGGGACTATGGATTGGTGCGGATGTCTCTTCCTCTTGCTCGGGGCACACAAGGCAGTGCTCTTGCAGCTGGGTCCTCCTCCTCATTTTCCCCATTGACCCTTGCTCATCGCCGCCTTGGTTACACCGCCCCCACAACATTGCAACAGATGGCTCGGAGGAACATTGTATTGGGCTTGGAGATCGGGGGGGGGGAGCACTGATTGCTCCCCACGTGAGCCTTGCTTATTGGGAAAGTCGGCTCGGAAGCCGTTTCCCCACGAGGCGTCTCGGGCACTTGGGCCTTTGGATGAGGTCCACATGGATTTGTGGGGGCCAGTGTGCACACCGTCACTGGGAGGAGCGGTGTATGTCCTCAGTCTCATTGACGACTTCACCAGACGAGTTTGGTCGTTCCCACTCCCCAACAAGGAATCGGCCACAGTCGCAAAAGTCCTTCGCCAGTGGCATAAGGACGTGGAGTTGGAGTGTGGGCGGAAGCTGAAGGCTGTTCGCTCTGACAGGGGTGGCGAGTTCTTGGGGGACGCTGTGAAAGCATGGAAAGCGAAGTTTGGCATCAAAACCCAATTTAGTGTCGCAGATACACCGCAACAGAATGGGGTCGTGGAGAGGTGGCACAAGACGATGGCAGAGGGGATTCGCACATTGTTGGTCGACAGTGGTCTCCCTGCTCGCTTGTGGGGTGAAGCATTGATGTGGGTTATGTGGGTTAAGAACAGGGTCACCCACAGTGCTTTGCCTGCCTCCATCACACCAATGGAGGCGTGGTCCGGCCAGAAGCCGCATGTGGGCATGGCTCGGATCTGGGGTTGCATGGGGAGTGTCATGCTGCATGGGCATGAGAAGGGTGGCAAGCTTGATGCACGGGCTGTCATGTGTGTCTGTGTTGGGGTGGACATGGAGAGCAAGGGTTGGCACATGCTGGACCCTTCTCTCATGCTGGATGTTGATTTTCTTGAGAATGTGATGTGGAAGGATTGGGACAAGGCAAAGAGATTTGGGGAGCTTCTGCAGGATGCAGCTGCGATTTCCCAACTCCTCCCTCTTCCACTCTCGCCACCCTCAGCAACGGCTGACGACGTTGAGATGCCACTTTCATCACTGCCACCGGCACCGCTGAGTGTGTCGGTGCAGCAGCAGCCCACCCCTCTGCAGCAGCTCAGTGGCCCCTCGGTCATTCAGCGGAGATCCGCTACACAGGCTACTTCCTCTTCCTCCTCCTCTGGTCAGCGCCCTGTCCCTCTCTCTACGGGTGCCCCTCCATCACCAGCGACTACCTCCCCACCACCGGTTAAGGGTTTGCAGGTGCTTGGTATCCAGTCTGGTACAGGTGGTGAGGAGGTAGGGGGGGATGCTGGTGTGGTTGAGGGCATGCTGTGTTTGGCCAGGGAGGTGGAAGGTGTTGCACTAGCAGGTGTGAGCACCGGTGATGTCCCACGCACACTCGCTGAGGCCCTGCATGGCCCTGAGGGCCCTGCGTGGAAGGCAAGTACTGAGAAGGAGGTAAATGCAATGCGCACTATGGGTGTATGGGATCCACAGCCGGTCGACTTACCTCCAGGTAAGTAGGCCATTGGGGTCAGGTATGTTTTCCGCAGGAAAACTGACAAGGAGGATAAGGTGGTACAGCACAAGGATCGCCTTGTTGCTAAGGGGTACACTCAGGAGCCCGAGAAGGACTATGATCAGGTATTTGCCCCTATGGGCAAGCTCACCTCAGGTCGGGTGCTTCTTGCAGAAGCCGCGGTAAAAGGGTGGCATGTACAACAGGAGGATGTTGATCATGCTTACCTCAATGCAGTCCTTCAAGAGGAGGTGTATGTGAGGCAACCTGAGGGATTTGATGATGGTACAGGTAGGGTGTATCGCTTGCGCAAAGCTCTCTATGGGCTCAAGCAAGCGCCTCGTGCTTGGAATGAGGAGATTGGTACCACCCTGATTGCAGCAGGGTTTGACCGCAGTGCATGTGATGAGGCTCTGTACATCAGGTTTGTGGATGAAGAGCCAGTGTATGTATTGGTGTATGTGGATGACCTCTTGCTTGTGTCTCCACGCTTGGAGCTGATCGATCAGGTCAAGGAGGTGCTTGCTCAGAGGTACCAGATGAAGGATCTAGGTGAGGTATCCACGTACCTTGGTGTGGAGGTTCGCAGGTCGGTCAAGGATGGGTGGTTGGAGATTGGTCAGGAGAAGTATGTCTGTGGTCTCCAGGGAAGTTTGGTGATCTGCTGAAGGAGACCCATAGGGTGCATACTCCAATGTCACCCAATGATCTCTCTAAGATCAGGAATGGTACTTGGTCGACTGAGGAAGGTGTTGCAGCTGATGTCAAGGTGTACCAGAGTCTCATTGGCAGCTTGATGTATGCTGCTGTGACCACCCGTCCTGACATGTTTTTCACTGTCAACACCCTTGCAGAGTCCTGCGTGGCACCAAGACGCATTCACATGCGCGCTGCACTGAGAGCACTCAGGTACTTGGTCGACACAGCTGATCGTGTCATCAGGTATGACCGCCAAGGTGGTGAGCATGTTGTTGGGTACACAGACTCGGATTGGGGTGGTGAGACTGATGGCAAGAGCCGCTCTGCCTACATCTTTAAGATGGGAGGAGGAGCAATCAGCTGGTATAACAAAAAGCAAGACAGTGTTGCAGCAAGCATTTCTGAAGCTGAGTACAAAGCTCTATCGGAGGGGGCCAAGGAGGCCATTTGGTTGAGGAGTTTGTTGGCAGAGATGCATGTGGGGGATGGGGGGGCTATTCCATTGCTCTGTGATAATGAGGCCACTGTCTCCCTTGCCCACAATCCCGTTCTCCATCAGCGCACCAAGCACATTAAGGTGGCACGGCACTTTGTACGGGATGCGGTGCGCCAGCAGGAGGTCGAGGTGCACTCAGTACGCTCCCACCTCCAGGATGCCGACATGCTCACCAAAGCTCTTCCAAGCTTGCAGCTGCATGAGAACCTGGAGCGTATCGGCATGCGAATGATGGCTGTGAAGGCCAAGGCTTCATTCACTGGAGGGGTTGTGTTTTGATTTATGGGTGAACTTTAATGTTTATTGGAGCAAGGGGGGGTGTTGGAATCAAGGTTAATTCGGGTTGCTCCAATAAACATATGTAGTGATACATCTACACTGCAGTAGTGTAGAATACATTGGTTGGGTTGGGAGAACTTGTGGTGTACACTCTATAGAGTGGACCACCTCCCAAACCCTATAGGTTAGGGTTCTCTCTTGTTGGAACTTCACTTCTTGGAAGCCACTTTGGTTCTAGCATGGTTCATGCCCAAGTGGGCTCCTAAGATTCCTAGGCTTTAGGAGGAAGTTCTAAGACTACTAAAGCTTCCGCTAGTAGCTTAGTCCATTCTAACATTGACACACCCCCATAGACAAAGTGGGGAACAACAGGAACATCAAGCGGTCCCAAGACCAGTCAAGAGAAGCAACAAGACAAAGCTCAGGGTGGATCACAAATGTCAAACTATATGTTTGTGTTCTCTGTAGGCGATAGTGGGTTAGCTTACAAGGGGTACAACACTTAAGGGTTAGTACTTGTACCCAACTCATTCATAGTCCATTCATTCCTGCACAGTTAATTCTGACATGGTATTCAGAGCAGGAAACCTGTTAGGTTTTTAGGGCCCACTGATTGTTCCGCTAGTTCCTGCCCGAAGCGCCTTTGCGCTGTCCGGCCCTGCTCGCACAATGTCGCGCTGCCCTAAACCCTGCCCCTGCTTGTTGCACCCTACTGCGGCCTGCGAGTCGCGCCCTGCTGCCCTGCCCAACGCGCGCCGCCCTGCCCTGCAGCCCGCGCCCAGCTGCCATGCAGCCCGTGCATCGCGCTACCCTGCCCTTAGGCCCGCCCGCCGCCCTGCCCTGCAACTCGCGAGTCGCGCTGCCCTGCCCTTAGGCCCGTGCACCGCCCTGCCCTGCAGCCCAGCACGTCACGCCCTGCTGCCCTGCCCAGCGCGCGCCCCACTGTCCTGCGCGTCGCGCCCTGCTGCAGCCCACGCGTTGTTACAATACTAAGTTTACTAGAGTACGGGTTTAACTAAGGGGCCTAGGCTTAGTAGCCTAGGCCAAACGGGTGTCGAGTAGTTTGTGCCAAGGAGAATTGAGAAGAATGGTTGTTGGTTCACTATAGCACACGAGTACATATAGCAACCTAACAAAGATGAAAGAGGTGCACCACCATACAAGGGAATTATACAGCAGCTACACTACAGGCATATTATACTAAATAGAAATAAATCTATTGTGACACACCCCATATCTGCCTGTAGTGCATAACCATGTGCAGAGCCCCCCCTGAAGGGGTACACCTGTAAAACCCCATTACAAGGCGTGGGAACACCAGCAAGGGGCCCCCTCTGAAGCTGACAAGCAGCAACCACCAAGCAGCATCAGAACCACCGCGGTGGAACAGGTGCCTGGCTGCGGTTGAACGCCCCGTAGCTGGTGCACGGTGTGCGAGGAGCACGAGTACGGGTAGCGGGTTTGGGTAGCAACTAGGTGCTGTACGGGACGGGCCGCACGGGGGTGACGAGCAGCACGAGACTGGGCAGCACAGACCGGGTGGGGCACGAGCGAGAACTGACAGCACGGGTGGGGCACCAACGGGTACGGACAGCACGGGTAGGGCACAAACGGGCAGAACGGGGCAGCACGGGCAGAACAGGGCAACACGGGCAGAACGGGGCAGGACACGGGCTGAACGGGGCAACACGGGCAGAACGAGGCAGGACACGGGCTGAACGGGGCAACACGGGCAGAACATGGCACAACACGGGCTGAACGGGGCAGGACACGGGCTGAACGGGGCAACACAGGCAGAACAGGGCAGAACACGGGCTGAACGGGGCAACACGGGCAGAACGGGGCAACACGGGCTGAACAGGGCAGATCACGGGCTGAACGGGGCAACACAGGCAGAACGGGGCAACACGGGGACAACGGGGCTGCACAGGAAGAACGGGGCAGGACAAGGGCTGAACGGGGCAACACGGGCACAACGGGGCAGCACGGGCAGAACAGGCAGCACGGGCAGAACGGGGGACACTGGGCGCGGGTAGAACACGGGCAGCAACGGGAGACACGGGTGGGCACGGGCAGTATGGCACGGGAACGGGCAGCAACACGGGCAGGATCACAGGCAGAATCACGGGCAAAATCACGGGCGACAACACGGGCAGAATCACGGGCAGAATCACGGTCAGGATCACGGGCAGAACACTGGCAAAATACGGGCAGCACACGGGTATGATTACGGGCAGAACACGGGCAAAATACGGGCAGCACACGGGTATGATCACGGGCACAATCACGGGCAGCAGTACGGGCAGAATCACGGGCAGAATCACGGGTGGACAGCAAGGTACGGGCAGAAAGGGATGAGAGGAGGAGGAGGCTGTGAAGATATGAGGAATGAATGGAGAGAGGGTTTCACTAGCAAGCAGTTGAGTACATATAGCAAACCCTAAATTGGGCTGTACTCACTATTGAGTACCCCACTGCAGGCTAGACAAACATAACATTCTGACACACCCCCATAGCCAAAGTGGGGTGTAATCAGCACAACAAGCAAGCAAAACACAAGCTCAGGGTGGATCACAATGTCACCACACAATCTGAGCACAAGTACAAGAAGCAACAGTTTAAAGTTCACAAATGTAAGCAAAGCTAGAGGCTATCGCAGGGGGCAAGTGTGGAGGAGGAGGGACTATGAGAGGAGAGGAGGTAGTGGGCGGCAGATGAAGCTGCTGGCAGACGGCGCAACTGGAGCAACTGGCACACGGGCAACTGGAGCAACTGGCACACTGGCAACTGGAGCAACTGGCACATGGGCTACTAGAGTAACTGGCTCCGCAGCTAACTCTGAGCGGCAGGAGCAACGGACTCACAGGCGACTGGAGCAACGGGCTCACGGGCGACTGGCGCAACGGGCTCACGGGCGACAGGCGCAACGGTCTCACGGGCGACTGGAGCTGCGGGCTTCACGGCGGCCACCCCTCTTCAACCTCCCCAAACTATCCCACCCCCCTTTCACACACCCCCTGCTGCACCCTAGGTTCACTCACACCCCACCCCCTAGCACCACTCCGTCGACTCCCACACACCCAACCCCCTCAGCGGCAGCTGCAGCAGTGGGAGACAGAGGAGGAGGAGCAGGGGAGACCACACACCCGCCACCCCCTACTCGCCACCCCCAGACCCTAACACCGGGCAGGGCGGGACGGCGGGTAGGGAGGTTACGCGGGGGGGGGGGGGGCGACGCGCGGCCTCCCAGGGCGCCAAAAGAGGCGGCAGAAGGGGCGATGCTCGCCCCCCCCCCCCCCCAGGTCGCGCCCCCCTCAGGTCGCCTCGACAGGCGACGGGAAAAGAGGGGGGGGCGGTGCACGGGTCCCCTGTGCGCCGCGACAGGCGACGGAGCATGGCCGGGGCGGGGCCGGGGCAGGGTCGAGGCAGGGCCGAAAGGGGCGGGGACGGGGCCGCTGGAGGCGGCGACGGGGCCGCTGGAGGCGGCGACGGGGCCGATAGGGGCGGCGACGGGGCCGCTAGGGGTGGCGC